CAACTGCCCCCCCTGCCGGCCTGGTCGCCCCATGCAGCCTGCTGTTCAGTCGTCTGGTTGTCCCTCACTAACCCCCCTGCCAGCCTGGTCATAGGCAGCCATCTTGTGAGGGCTGAGAGTTAATTTGCATATTACCTCTTTATTATATAGGATTTTAAGGAAAAAATCCACTATTAATCTTATGTACTGCTATTGAGAGACAATTCTCAGAATTATCTCACATGAACATTCACTTTTAAAAGTAATTAGTAGAAATCCACAGTCCAATGATATAATATAAACAGAGTTCAATAAATACAATATATTTACAACATTAATAAGAACTCTTTCAGGCTGTACGTTTTCTGGTATATTACAGTATAAGAGCATGTTAACAGTAGCAATCCTTGATGGTAAGGTTTATGGTATTTTCATTTTCTTATTTTTGCTGATCTGTACCTCCTAACATTCTCACCATGAATATATACTGATTTTATAATAATAAATGGTTGCTTTAGATTTTAAAAATTATAAATGCCATCCAATACTGGCAAGGGTATGGTTAAAGAAATACATAAAATGCTCAGTACAGTACCTATCACACAGTAGGTCCCCCAAAAGTCCAGCTCTTATTAAAGTCTAGTAAAGAACACTGACAATTAGACAGTTGTCACATGTATGCAGAATGCTGTGGGACAACAGGGTGCAATGTCCCAGTGGAGGTCATGCCCAAGCTGAGTCTACAAAATGGAGGGCATGCCAGTGGGTGAGAGGAGTATGTAACAAAAGAGAGGACAGCAAGAAAAAAGGCGGAGAAGGAGTGAGAACAGGCCTGTTGAGAGATGAGACTGAAGCATCATTACCCTAATTGTGCTTCAAGATACCTTAGTAGCAGCTGTAATATTATGAATGCATACTCAAAACAAGCGATTAAGGGCCCACAGTCAAGTCAGCTTCGGAAACCATAGTCTCATCTTAGAGATTTACAACAGACAGTAGCAGAGGAAAAGTTATGAGTGTTCTGTCATAAAAGCAAACTGTTTACTCTTATTAAACACACACCTTCCCAGGCTTTTTTCAGAAAAAGCCACTTGAGTTACATGTGTAAAATAGATTAGAGAGGGCTGAAGGTGAGGAGCCTATTAGGAGATTGCTTTGTAAAGAAGCTTTATCCATGAACTGTTTTAACTTATTTTAATTAAAAACTTCAAACATACAAAAGTAAACAGAATGGTAGAATGAACCCTCAAGATGTACCAGCACACTTTCACATTATCAACTTACAACCAATCTTGCTTGATCCCATCCCCCTGCTCTGCTCCTTATGATTTTGACAATTTACCTTTTTAAGAGGGATAACTCACATATCCCTTGAATGAAGATTTTTAAGCAAGATGTCCTTTCACCACTGTCACCAAACAAGTACATTATGAGACATATATAAAATGAGAAAAAATACAAAAGATCTGATAAGCAGTACTATCAATACTCAAGCACAGTGGTTCTCAACCTGTGGGTCGTGACCACTTTGGGGGTCGAATGACCCTTTCACAGGGGTTGCCTAAGACCATCGGAAAACACAT